AGATATATATATATATATATATATATATATATATATATATATATATATATTTGAGATGTAAATTATGAAATGACCCAAAAAAAACTGCTGATGTTTACTTGCAAATTTTGTTGGCCAAATTTTGTGTAAGTTAGGTGAGTATTACTTCAAGTAATGATGCGATGCGTTGAAAAAGATTGTAGGCCTAAAATTGTTACATTCATATATTTGTTAGTTCGATTTAACTAACATTAGTTGTAGGGCAATAGAGACAAGCTATTTTCAAATGTCAAAAATTACTGCAACACCGGGACGGATTTCTCAATGTATAAGCTCCGACAATCAAGTCAGTAAAAAGCGTTTGAGACGCAAACTTTATTTGAAATCCTAACCCTTATAGACATGTCATGTCTTGAGAGGCAAAGCTTCATTAGGAATCTTAACCTAATCCACTGTTGATATGCCGTATTTAATGGGTTTTTTAAGGTTAAATACGGTTCAACTCGTTTAAAACGCAGACTCGAGGTCTCACCATGATATCTTATGGTTTTACCTCATCTCACTGTACGACGTAATGAGTGGATAATACTTTCTTGTTATTAAGGTTCCATATATTCTGTTAACATGCGACTGAAGCTTTAGTTTAATGTCGATTCTCCTTGAGTCTTTATATGATCTTTAATATAAAGATTTAAGATCATATCCTAAAACATCTTATCAAACGTGGGAGCTTATAAGATATTTTAAATATACTTAGCCAAACAGACCCTTACTTGAAGGGCGGGCAACTATGGCAACTATGTCAATTAATTACCGATAGGGTTAGTATTAGTGTCCTAAAACATTTTATCAAATTCTACTCACATGCCTAACACATGCACAAAGTAAAAAATGATCTAATTCGCCTTCATTTGTTATGTTAATTAATCTAATTGCACTCGACTAAACTTTTAAGTTTTAATGATCGATCTCAAATTATGTATCCAGTACTTTAATTTGGTTTTCAATCCTAGTTCTGCGAGCCAACAATAAATCGTGTAACTTTATCGTACCACCAAATAAATAAATAAATAAAGTTGTATTCACTATTAATGTCAAGACATCATATTGCATCCATGTGAAACAATAAAAAAATTTAAAGAAAATGAAATTCAAATTGAATATATGACACTAAATAATTAAGAGGGCAACTTAGAGACTTTGTACATGTTACACTTATGAATAGGAATGTTAATAGGATTGTTGGCAAAAGTGGTTGGATTAATGAGTCAACTTTGTTTCCCTAAGATTGTAGCATCTTATTAATTTTAATGAAAGGGATTTATTTAATTTGGTAGTATACAACATCAATGTATTGTATAGCTATTAGTTTACAGTTGCATTAATTTGTCATTATAGCAAAACCATTTTTTCTTTCTTTCTTTATGTTATCCTTTGAATTATATAATAATTGCATTTATTTATTATACACTAGTTTTCATATTTTCATTTTACAATAACAAGGATGTAAAAGAGTTGACTCAGCTCATCATCAGTCTCGTGTCCCGATTTGACAAAAGCTCGAGCTGAATCTTGAAAATTTCCAGCCGAGCTTGAGTTTTTCGATAAACAGAACTAAAATTGTGCTTATTTTTAATTGTTTTGAAAGCTCACGAGCCATTTCGTATTTTTCTTTTTTTTTTATATTATTAATAGATAGAAAAATATTAATAATAACTTATTTCATGAGCAATTTTGTGAAAAAAAAATATTTTAATAAATAGATAGTAAAATATCATGAGCTTGAGAGCACTAAAAAATTATTTTAGCTCGATTTGAACGCAACTCGTTCACACCCTCACATAGGAAAAAGAAAAATTGAAATTAGCCCGCATGGGTGTAGCTCAACTGGTTCCGGAGGTGGTAAGTTGGTGCAAGGTCCTAGGATCGAATCCTGGCAGCCGCAGTGTGGGAATTTCAACTCCAATGAGTTGGTTCCTTGTGGGCACCAGGTCCGGGTCCGCTACCTTAACGGGCCGTTGAGTTACCATTCCAAGGGATGGGGGCCCTGGGGGCGAGGGATTTCGCCTTTTGGTGCAAGAAAAATTGAAATTAATACAAATAAAAATATTAAAAAATAACAATTTTCATTTATTAAAAAGAAAAAAAAAAAAAAAATATCGCCCCCACACCCCCAAGACACACACACATACATGCTTACCACGTGCAAAGATTACCATCCACAAGTGTGGCAAAAAAGAAATTAATCTGGCAATAGTAGTCCATATTCGAAACGAAGACGATTACTTGAAGAGAAAACTAGTTTACGCAAAACGAATTGCTATTTCCCATCTGGCAAACATCAATGCCAAACGCGCTTATCATTAAAAGTTCGTTGGGCAGTTGCATTGGATCCTCACCCCTTTCAGTCAAAACTTTTCATTGCATACGTATAGCATGACAAATCACCCAATAATATATTGGATTAAAAATAAATAAATTAAAATCTTGTAAATATTAATTAACTAAAAAGAAAAAAAAATAATTCAACTATTTTACAATGATCTCAACTCGTATCTTATGATTTAAATGAAACCTAAACCGTCTAATAAATTAGTTGGGCATGCAAATATTGTCTTATACTTTAACTTCCATTTGCATGCGGATTTTGCGATTTTATTATATGCCACGTGTGGGGTAAATTATATTTAAGATCGTAAAGGACGGGATCAGGTTGTAGGTGATTAGACAGGCGGCAGCGCATCACGATTAATCAGCGCGGCGGTGATAAATTAGAATAAGTTGGTTTTTCAAATTTAATGTATAATATATATAGATATTATTTGTAAATACTCAAAACTTATATAAAAAGATATTTAAACATGGTTCTATCACATCAATTATGTATTCTAATCACATAATAAAAGTTTTAATAATAATAATAGTTAGATTATAACACAATAAAAAATAAAAAAATCATTACAAAGTACAAAAAAACGCAACTTATTTTTCTATTAAAAGCTCAATTGTATTTTTATTCATAAAAAAATACACCAGATTAAACAGATTTTTGCGCCACAGAGGCCAAAATTCGAATTTTCAAACAATTATGCCAAAATCTTAAAGGTATTAGATCGCCTTCGTTTTAGAGACCGGTTAATCTGATGTCTCAGCCGATTTTTTGAACACTGGATAAATTTAATCCGGTTACATCAAAATTGATTACTAAAATTAGACTTACGTAACCCATCTATTTATTTATTGTCAATTTTATATTCAAAAACTTGCGAAAAACTTAACATGTCCAAAATGTTTAAAACTTAATTATGCAGTCACCACTTGTTCTAGTTTGTTCCTTAAGTTTTGCCATTTTTATTAATAAACAAATAATAACGTGTTAAGAGAAATAAACACATTTAAAAAATATATCTTGATTAATTAAAGAGATTAACCCACAAAGCAATTCATCTCCATACTTCCATTAATCTTTGTTGACCAAACTTAGAGTCAGGTAGTTGAGAATTATTACACACACGTCGCCCCTCTCATTAAATATTATTAATAAATATAATGTGACGCATTTATTACATTGTGGTATCATTACATTTTGGTAGTTGGATCCACCCGTTTTTACATACCCAAATACCTCTCTTTAAATACTTATATCTACACTTCCCTCCACTTTCATCAATACTTACAAACCAATTTCACCCACCCACACACACACATACTTGATCATCATCATCATCTAATTCTTGATTGATTTTTTTTTTTGGTCGATCAAGAATGGGGAACGGTGACGATCGAAAAATCGAACCCGAAACGGGGCGAATTTCGGTCGAAAGAAAACTCCCGAATTTCCTCCAATCGATTAGGCTCAAATACGTGAAACTCGGTTACCATTACTTGATCTCAAACGCTATGTACTTACTACTAATCCCCTTACTAGCTATTTCCTCGGTTCATCTCTCGACTCTCACAACGCAAGACCTAACCCTATTGTGGGACCAATTGAAGTTCAACCTCGTCTCGGTTCTCGTTTGCTCCACGCTAACGGTCTTCTTGTGCACGTTGTATTTCATGACGAGGCCTAGGAAAATTTACCTAGTCGACTTCGCGTGCTACAAGCCGAAGCCCGACGTCATGTGTAGCAAAGAAATGTTCATGGAAAAATCGAGGCAAACCGGTATCTTCACGGCGGAGAATCTGGAGTTCCAGAAGAAGATTCTGGAAAGGTCCGGCCTGGGCCAGAAGACCTACTTTCCAGAAGCCCTCATGCGGGTCCCGGCCGAGCCCAACATGGCCGAGGCCCGCAAGGAGGCCGAGTTGGTCATGTTCGGCGCGATCGACGATTTGCTGGCGAAGACGGGGGTTAAGGCCAAGGATATCGGGATCCTCGTGGTGAATTGTAGCTTGTTCAATCCGACGCCGTCTCTTTCGGCGATGGTTGTGAATCATTACAAGCTTAGGGGGAATATCTTGAGCTATAATCTTGGTGGCATGGGTTGTAGTGCTGGTTTGATCTCCATTGATCTTGCCAAACAGCTCTTGCAGGTTAGCTTTTCTTTTTTCCCCTATATTTATTATTTTTAATTAAATTCACCATTATAATTAATTTTGGGTAAATTACAAAAACACCCCCAAACTTAGGTTAAATAACAAAAAACACCCCAACTATTTGTAATTATCAAAAATCCCCGGATATTTGTTTCCGTCTTAAACCAACCCCTTACAGTGTGACTTTTCACGGATTTTTTTTGGAATACATTTTACACAATTTCAGATATTTTCTTTTATTTCTGAACTATTTAGCATAAGGTAAAACTGTACACATTTTCTGTTAAAAAACTCGATCAATAGTTAATCAGAGGAGGATTTTGGTTATTACAGATAGGTGTGAGTATTTTTCATTATTTAGCCTAAGTCCAGGGTTTTTTTTTAGTAATTTACCCTAATTAATATAATTTTTAATTAATTATTAATTTTTAAATTAATAATTTGCAGGTGCAGCCTAATTCGTTAGCCCTAGTAGTAAGCATGGAGAACATAACCCTGAACTGGTACTTCGGCAACAACCGCTCCATGCTCGTATCCAACTGCATCTTCCGTATGGGCGGCGCCGCCATCCTCCTCTCCAACAAACCCTCCGACAAGCGCCGCTCCAAGTACCAGCTCATACACACCGTCCGCACGCACCGAGGCGCCGACGACAAGAGCTACACGTGCGTCTTCCAGGAAGAAGACGACACGAAACAGGTCGGCGTCGCCCTTTCAAAGGACCTGATGGCCGTCGCCGGCGAAGCCCTCAAGACAAACATCACCACCCTGGGCCCACTCGTCCTCCCCATGTCGGAACAGCTCCTCTTCTTCGTGACATTGGTCGCGAGGAAAGTGTTCAAGATGAAGACGATAAAGCCGTACATACCGGATTTCAAGCTGGCGTTCGAGCATTTCTGTATACACGCCGGCGGGAGGGCGGTGCTGGACGAGTTGGAGAAGAATCTCGAACTCAGTGAGTGGCATATGGAGCCTTCTAGAATGACGCTGTACAGATACGGGAATACTTCGAGCAGCTCTTTGTGGTATGAGCTGGCGTACACCGAAGCTAAAGGGAGGATCCGGAAAGGGGATCGGACCTGGCAGATTGCTTTCGGGTCGGGTTTTAAGTGTAACAGTGCGGTTTGGCGGGCTTTGAAACGGGTCGACCCGGCTATGGAGAAGAATCCTTGGATGGATGAGGTTCATGACTTTCCTGTTGAGGTGCCCAGAGTTGCCACTATTTCTTGATTCTTTACAAATTAAATTGTTTTTCTTTTTTTTAATAATTATATTTCATGTGAATTGTAATTTAATTTTAGTTTTTAGTTTTTTTTTTGAATGGTTTGGTTCTTGATACATTATTTTAAATTCTCGGAGATTTTGAGGGTTCTTTGTATCATAGTTTAATTTTAAAGAAAAAAAAGTTGTTATGTTTCAGAGATTTAATTGAAGTTGTTTATATGAAACATGGTTATCGTAACGAAATATATCAACGTTATCGTTTTCCTCCATATATTAAACTGGATCATTTATTGTAATCGTATCGTTAAAAATAGTACAAAATATATATCACATAGTAATAATACGATAAACATGTAAAAAATAATATTTCAAACTCAAACCATTCATTCGAAATAGATTTGAAATCAAGTTTCAACATTAAATTATTTACTAAGACTAAAGTCATAGTTATTAGAAATGCTAGTGTCTTTTTATTACATTTGCTAATATAAATGCTTTTATCCGAAACATTTTACTTTTTGTGTTTATGTCTAAATTAATAATATATATATATATAAAAAAAAACACGATTGTTATGAAAAAAAATGTGCTAAAAATCACACAAATCATCCGAAATGCTGAAAATCATACAAATCAGTAATCACCCATAAATGTGCTTAAAATCGCACAAATCGCCCTCAAAACAATTATCGTAAGAAATTATTATTTTAAGAAAATTCATTGTGAATGAAGATTTGGCAAAACACACAATCCTTTTCCCCAAAGTAAAAGCAAACACTAGGGAGGTTGAGCATTTAATTTTTGTCATCAAGAAACATTATGTTATATCATATATGGATACAATAATTATATGTACAATGTATGTATATATATCCCAAGTTGACTCAGTTAACATGTGACGTGCATTAAAATTGCCAAGATGGAACCAGCTGTTCTACTTCTTCTTTTATTTATTTATTTAATTAAAAAGAAAATTGGAAAAAGGAAAATAAATTAAATAATTATAGATAAAAAGAAAATGATGTAAGAAGTGGCTGAAAATCCGCACATGTGGATAAATATAATGGGACCCTGAAAAGCTGGAACAAGTTATAGAAGCAAAGCTGGATAAATAGAGGGTACTATGGTCATTAACTAATGTGGTACAGGGTCTAGCTTCTACTGTTGACTTTTTGACAGCTTGATCTTTAAATACTATTGGGCCTAGCTTTTGTTGTGCTGTTTGAAAACTTTGCATTTAATTCTAAAAGTGCCTTTTATTTATTGTGTATTAACACTCATTTTTTGGGATAAAAAATAATGAAGAATTCATTTCTAAGAGCATCTCCGTCCGGTCTCACCATTTTTTCACCAAATCCCATTTATGCTGGTGAAAAAATGAGTTCACCTCCCAGCGGTACTGTATCATTTTACTCCTACACCATTTTTGGTGGAAAAATGGTATTTTTTGTCTCCAATGGATTTCACCAAAATTTAGACCAAATATTAAAATAATAATATTTCACGATTTCACCACTTATAGGAAATGTGATTTGGTTTGGTCTCCCATGACATTTCACCATATATGCACAAAAAAATGTTAATCGTAATTTTATAATATATTTTATTTCATAAATATTAATTATAGATCCAATGCTAAGTAATAAATTTTCTTAACTATATAATTTACAAATTATGTTATCATTCTATTAAATGTCTATAAATGTCTCGTCCTGTATTTCATCAATTAAAGTGTGTTTCGTTAATCATTTTATTGTTGCTTATTATATTTTATTAATAGCAGTTAGCGTATTAGTTAAGTAAAGAAATGAACTAATAAACATTGATACCAACAAAATATGCAGATTAATTAAAAATAAGCATATTTATATTATTAGAATTAATGTTTTGTTAATAATAACAAATGTATTTATATTTTAAAAACTAATTTAATAATAAATACCAATGTATTTACGATAAATATGTTAATAAGTTGGTAATCGGGTACAATTAGTTAAAATCGTCATTTTATATGGTACTTAATAAAATGGTGTTAATTACGGCAAATCCTATTTTCACCTCTATATTTGGTAGGAAAAATAGGATTTGGTGGAAAAAATAGGAAAATGGTGGACCGGTGGGAGATGAAAATTCCTTCACCAAAAAATTTGGTGGAAAAATAGGATTTGAGTATTTGGTGGTATGGGGGTTGACCACGGTGGGAGGCTAAAACCAAATCTCTATAATTTTAGGTGTAGTGGTGATATAGGAATTTCGGATAGGAGGCTAAAAACACCTAAATTAGATGAAAAAATGGCGTTATGGCATCCGATCGGAGATGCCCTAAATAGAGTTAAACAATCTATAAATTAATACAGTCGGAAGTTTGAACTAGGGGTTTAAACGAGCCGAGTCTCGCTTGCGAGCTCCAGTCCAATTCGACGAGCTCAGGCTCGAGCTTGAGCTCAACGAGTTTGATGTTTTGAGCTCGAGCTCGAACCTAAGCCCATATTTATATTTTTCATTTTTATATTTTATAAATATTTCAGGTTTTTATCATTATACATTGTAATACGAAATAAAAAAATTAAACTGTCATTTAATTATTTATATGAATTTATTATTAATTTTATATAATTATATTTATGATAAAAAATTAACTGTAATATATTATAATATTTATTATTTATATATTTATATAGTCTTCTAAGTTCTACATACTACATACTACAATTAATAATTTTGTAGCTTTTCTCTTTTATGGTTAGCCAATTAAAGCCCACTTTTTGTAGGCTTTCTTTTCGTATTACGCCTCTCTCTTTAAGGCCCATTTAGTTACTGAACTTCCTAATCCATTTCTATCTCAGTGTATACGATAAATACGAAGTGGAAAAAATATAGTTTAAGTCCCTCAAGTTTGCATCGATTTTATATTTGTTTTCGGATATCACAAAAAATTCTTTTGATCCCTTATGATTCAGATCTTCAATATTTTTAGTCATTTCCTTCAATTTTTTGTTCGTTCTAACAGAATCAAATGTGTGCGCATCATTGTCTTAACAGATGAATTGACGGTAAATGACCGAAAGCGTTAAAATATTGAAACATAAATGACCAAATGTGTTTTTTGTGAACATAGGGGATCAAATCTGAAAACAGTGCAAAATTGTAAGATAAAAACTTTAATTTTTCCAATATCAAATTATTTGAACGTATGCGAATTTAAGGTAATTAATTACAACACCTATTTATTTACACTTAGACCCCGTTTGGTTGGCAAGATAAGATTAAATACTCTAATGAAACCCAACTATTTTATTGGAGCTTGGAACGTCCAACAAAAAAAACTCATTAGAAGGCAAGACAAGCCAAGATAAGCCATGATTATATAATTTTGGCGGGTCGACCCGGCAATTTATTGAGGATACCAAACATCAAATTAAGTCCAACTATTTAGTTAATCATGGCTTATATTGGCAACCAAACGGGGTCTAAGTGGATTTCAACCATAGATTTACACATAAATCACACGCGCATTCAGTGGCAGATCCAGGATTTTTGTCAAGGGTGTTCGAAATTAAGTATAGAAAAAATGTAATGGTGAAGTAAAAATTTATGGCGGTTCTGGGGCAGCGCCCCCATTTTTTTTAATACTATACACATAAAATTAAAAATATTTTTTTCATCTTCGCGCGCATTCACATATATGTGTGTTTAGTGAATAATAATTTAATAATATATGCAGTTGAATTCAGTAGCTGTAAAAAACCAACCTAGTTTCTAACGCCCAACGGATTTAGTATGGATAGATACACCCTCCGTTGAATTATAATGTAGTACTATTGACAGAAGAATTTTGCTTACCGATCAATTAATTACATTGACTTGTGAACTTTGGAACACAAAAAGTCGCATGCATATGTGATAAACTTTATTTTTTCTTTTTTTTCTTTTTTATTATTTTTTTAATTTTTTATTTTACTATTATGGACAAGGAATTCTTAGTCATATACGAAGTCCATTGGTTAAGAGTTAAGACTATATTCTCGTGCAATAGCTTGACTTAGTAAAATTAATATTATATGTTACCTTCAACGCCTAACCGAAGCTTCTTCCATTTATTTGATTTTTCAAATTTAATTAATATATGTTAATTCAAATCGTCAACAATACACAAAACAATATATAATTTTATGTTATAAAAAAATGAAAACAAAATTGATTGTTATTATTATTATTTTTTTAGAAGAACTTGACTGTTATTTTATAGATGAATAAAAGTATAGTTAATGTTTAATTCAAGAATAAATATTACAAAGAACAACAAATGGTTTGAGTGGGAGTTTACAACATGTAATTAACTACCAAGTTCGAATCTTAATTCTTAATGCATGTCTTAAGTTTAATCATCAAAACCTTTATATATATACATTCTTTTAAAAATTAAAATAATAAAATTAGTGCAATATATGCCACTAAAAATGCCATATTATTACTCGACAAGAAGAGTAGTTACAAACCCAAAATACCAACTACAACATCTAAGTTGCCACGTGATAACAATATCTATACATTTCATCATTAACTAAAAACTAATTAACAACTCCCATCGTCTCTGATTTATGGCCCGTTTGACTAAATTTATTTTAAGCTGATAAGATCTACCCGTCTGATGAACTATTTAAAAAGATGATAGGTTTTTATGTTTTTTTTAGAATTCGTTCTTAAAGTATTTGGATAATAACCTAATAAGTTATATTTAATAATTATAAGATCTTAAATTAAAATGTGGGATACAATTATTTTATTTAAAAAGACCTTAAAAACTCTCAACAACTGATTTTTAGAATTTTTTAGTTTTTTTGTATAATAATTATCGAACATTTTGAACGAGTATATAAGCTCTTAACATCTTATCTTATAAGTTTGTTTTAACAGTTTATAAATTTAGCCAAACGCAGAACATTATAATTATTAATATTATCACTATTATTTATATGTCTTTTTCAAAACAAAAAACAAATAGGGTTTTACCTCTTAGTAGGAACAATGCAAACCTTGCCTACCACGCCGGCAACCTATCATTGTCCGTGACAAACATTCACCATTTCCGAACAAAATAACCCAACCAAGAAACTGCTGACATGGCATCAAATCGGGCCCACATGCTCCCTTTAATGCAGCACAAACGGTCTTCAGTGGGCCCCACCTGTACGCCGTCACAGGAACATATATAGAAAAAAAGAATATAGAGAGAATATGTAGTCCGGCTGCCACGTGTACACAAACACCACTTTCTCTCACTACATATACAATCCCTCACCTTCCATAATCTTTCATCACCAACAATTAACACAATCTTAAAATCAAAGAATTTCTCTACAAACACGAAATCAATCATGGCCGTTGAATCTTCCATTCAATCTCCTGCGATCAATCCAACGGATGAGAAATTTGCGAAGGCGCTTCAGTTCATCGAAGAGATGACCAAGAACTGCGACGAGGTGCAGGAAAGGGTTTTGTCGGAAATACTATCCCAAAACGCCGACACGGAGTACCTCCGGAGGTTCGGCCTCGGCGGCGCCACCGACCGGAATACGTTCAAGACTAGGGTTCCGGTGGTTAAGTACGAGGATCTTCAGCCGGAGATTCTGCGTATTGCCAATGGAGATCGCTCTCCCATCCTTTCTTCTCGTCCCATCTCCGAATTTCTCACTAGGTAAAAAGATTTATTTGTTTATGTTGCTTTTTTTTTTCTAGTTGATTAATTTGTCCGCGTTTTATACTACGCATGCACACTGCACCTTGATAAATTAATAACCTCGTTTAAATAATAGTTTATTCTGGTCGCGACTCGGTAAAGACCAACTAAATTAGTAGTTCGATAATTTAATATTTCGCTAAAGTAATAGAATTTTGCTAGTTCCAACTGTATTAATTTATAGAGTTTTAACTACGAATGAGTGAAATGAATTTGCAGTTCCGGGACATCGGCAGGCGAAAGGAAGCTCATGCCGACTATTAGTGACGAAATGGATCGCCGGCAGAAGCTGTACTCACTTCTCATGCCGGTGATGAACTTGTAAGAACCTTTATTTGATTTTAATATTAAATAAATCTTAATATATTAAAAAATGAAATAATTAACAATAATAACCCCTATTAAAAATTTTATTTCTTGAACTGCCTGCCAACAGGTACGTCCCGGATTTGGACAAAGGAAAGGGCCTCTACTTCCTATTCATAAAGGCCGAAACCAAGACCCCAAGCGGGCTCGTGGCCCGGCCCGTTTTAACAAGCTACTACAAAAGCGAGCAATTCAAAACCCGACCGTACGACCCATACAACGTCTACACAAGCCCCGACGAAGCAATCCTTTGTTGCGACTCCTACCAGAGCATGTACGCGCAAATGCTCTGCGGCCTCGTCATGCGCCACGAGGTCCTTAGGGTGGGGGCCGTTTTCGCCTCCGGCCTCCTCCGCGCCATCCGTTTCCTCGAAGTCAATTGGCGCCACCTGGCCCATGATATCGCCAGCGGCGCACTGAACCAGAGAATCACCGACCGTTCGATTAGGGATCGAATGTCGGAGATTCTCTGCCGCCCGGACCCCGCCCTCGCAGAGTTTATTACTAAAGAATGCGAGGGCGAGAACTGGGAGGGGATCATCAAAAGAATATGGCCCAACACGAAGTATCTGGACGTGATCGTGACCGGAGCGATGGCGCAGTACATACCGCTGCTCGATTTCTACAGCGGGGGGCTCCCGCAGGCGTGCACAATGTACGCCTCGTCCGAGTGCTATTTCGGGCTCAATTTGAGGCCGATGACGAAGCCCGAAGACGTCTCGTACACAATCATGCCCAATATGGGCTACTTCGAGTTCATCCCGCACGATGACGGAGACGAGGAGAAGTCATCCTATCCGCCACGTCAGCAGCTGGTGGAACTGGCTGACGTGGAGGTGGGAAAGGAGTACGAGCTTGTCGTCACCACTTACTCGGGGCTGAGTCGGTACCGAGTTGGGGATATCCTCCGAGTCACTAGGTTTTACAACTCGGCGCCGGAGTTTAAGTTTATACGTAGAAAGAATGTTCTTCTGAGTATCGACGCTGATAAGACCGACGAGTCGGAGTTGCAGAAGGCTGTCGAAAACGCCGCCGTTTTGCTGGGTGAATTTGGCGCGAGTGTGGTGGAGTACACTAGTTTCGCGGATACGGGTTCGATTCCGGGGCATTACGTGATTTACTGGGAGCTGTTTGTGAAGGATCCGGATAGTATTGCCCCGACCCGCGAAATTATGGAGAAGTGCTGTCTGATAATGGAAGAGTCGATGAACTCGGTTTACAGGCAGTGCCGGGTCGCGGATAACTCGGTCGGGCCGCTGGAAATTAGGGTTGTGAAGAAGGGGACTTTTGAGGAGGTGATGGATTACGCAATCTCGAGAGGCGCGTCGATTAATCAGTACAAGGCGCCGAGGTGCGTGAGCTTCACGCCAATTGTGGAGCTGCTTGATTCGAGGGTTTTGTCGGCGCATTTCAGCCCGGCGGCGCCTCGCTGGACACCTGACCGGCGGATTTGATCTGACTCAGTGGGGCCTGGTTCCGTTTATTTTGTCGTATGTGTATTTTCGATTTGATTGGCTTTTTGCGTGTGTGTGTTTTTTCAAATAAATATGTAGATATTGATGTGATTTGTAATTTAATTAAAGGGTGATTGTATTGTGAAATACATCTTAATTTAACTTGGTTTGCCATTTTCATTTAAGTAAATTACGACTACCCTACGATAATGTCAAATTACAAAAAAAATCTCATTTGTTTGAATAATTGCAACTATTCTTTAATTATGATTTTTTTTTGCACGTCTACTCTTGTGGTGTAAAATTTAGTGGAATTTTCTAGATTACGTGGAACATTCTGCAGTTTATACCCATTTACCATATTCGAGCTCCATATTTTAAAATAAGATGATCATAAGATGTGTTTCTTGGCTTGTAAATATCAGATTGTGGTGCATCAGAAACTGCATTTTTTCACAAATCGAGTACAAACTAGAGAACGTTTCATGACATTTAGAAAATTATGTTGAAATTGACACCATAAGAGTGAACGCGTAAAAAGATTAATAATTTAGAAAATTATGTTGTAATTACTCAAAGAAGAGAGTTTTTTTTTTCCTTTTAATTTAACATTACAAACTTCTAAAAATCTAGAATTATGGACTTTGAGGTACATAGTCTTCGAATATTCCAAGAGATATAATGATGATCAAATGAAATTAAGACCAAATATCTTTAATAGTTCCTCAAGCTTGTATTTTGTCCCACTTTAAATCTTTCAAATGAGCCAAATTCCTCCAACTCCAAAAATTGTATAAAAGCTATCATCCATCTCAACATTCCGTTAGTAGTTAACGGAATCACATCAAGAAGAAAAAATTGAAAAAAAAAAGTTTTTCTATATCGACAGTTGTATTTCATATCATAAATTCATTTAAAGTCGTCTCGCATTATATAAAAAAATCACTAAAAATTTAGTGGCATCTTAAGAATACGTTTCTCTATGTTTTTCATATCCACCCACTTTTACGGAATATTGAACTATCCTTTTGAAAACACAATATTTCTTTTGAATATATTACATAAATAGTAACTTTTTTCCTCTTAAGAATTGTTATTTAATATAAGGGGAAACGATAAACATTATATACTGATCTTGTATTACCTAATAAAATTACTTTATATCAGTGCACTTATATGGTTGGCTGCGGATTCTTCGATTAAAAAAAAAACATTAACAAAATATCTTATTAAATATGGTTGTTAAACTTATATGCATTATATAATACAAAATTACAAATACAATACACAAGTAAAGTGAGCAAGGAAATAGTTTCCCTCTACTTTCCATTTCTCCTTTTATTTCTCAAAAAACACCCTTGATACATGGAATATTCCATTTCGTTAAACATGATTCCGTTATTTTTTGGAAGGAGGAGGATGAATTTGGCTAATTTCAAAGACAAGGGACTAAAGTGGGACAAAACAAATATTTGGGGGGCAAGACATATAATATACTTCAATTTAACCATTAATTAATCATAATTAATCATTAATTAATCTGCAACAGAAGTCGGGTCAAAGCGCATTTAGGGATTTAGGATAGGCAGTCTCATCCTACTGCGATACTCTCCTCACTCTTCTCCATCTGCCATTGATTCCTCCGTCAAGCTCTTAGATCAGTGACGACGGCCAAGCTTTTTCACGGCGGCGATTGGTGCGGCGACCGTATTATCCGGCTTAGGTAATGTTTCAATTTTTTTCATTTTTATCCGGTTAAGCTTCTTGTGTTGATGATTTTACCGTACCATCTCTGCTTCTTTGAATCTGATTTAGAGCTCAGTGGATCCTTTTGATTTATGCTTCTTTTTTTGTGTCGGCGATTTTGTATAATGATTTGAGAATCATCAGTGTGTGAAAATTGAAAATCAGTGTGTTTTGGAGAATTGGGGATTTTTTTTTTTTTTTTTTTATAATTTATTCATATATATAGAATGATAATTTATGTAATTCAGCTCTCTGTTGATTTTTCCATTTTCGTTTATATCTCTGCTGCTTTTGGTTTGTTTTAAAATTTTATTATTATGAGTTTTTTTAATTCTGAGCTGATTTAGATTCTGTACTCTCTAATCACACTCATCCTTTTGATCTCCTACAGAATCCTCAGTTCTTTCTCCTTTTCGTTTCTCCTTCGATATCGATATCAATGGCAGATGCCTCGCAAACAGTCGATGGCAACACTCTAGTAGCGATGTGCCTCTCCCGGATAGGCATAGACAAAATGTTCGGAGTGGTGGGCATTCCCGTAACTTCACTAGCCAACCGGGCCGTATCCAACGGCATTCGTTTCATCGCCTTCCACAACGAGCAATCTGCGGGCTACGCCGCCTCCGCATACGGATACCTCACGGGTCGACCCGGCGTCCTCCTCACGGTGTCTGGGCCGGGCTGCGTCCACGGGCTGGCGGGGCTATCCAATGCTGCCGCCAATGCCTGGCCCATGGTCATGATTTCCGGCTCCTCCGAGCAGAAGTTCACCGGCCGCGGCGACTTTCAAGAACTCGATCAAATCGCAGCCGTCAAGCCATTCTCCAAATTCTCTGCTAAGGCCACCGATATTACCGAAATACCCTCGTCGGTTTTCAGTGTCGTCGATTGGGCCGTGGCGGGTCGACCTGGCGGGACCTACTTGGATCTCCCGTCGGATATCCTTCATCAAACCGTTGATTTATCGGAGGCCGAGAGATTGATAGCTCATGCCCTTAGTTCAAGAAACAAAGATCTCATCGAAAAACCGAGGGTTAATAATTCAGAAATTAAGAAGGCCGTGGAGATGTTGAGGGGGGCAGAGAGGCCCTTGATTGTGTTCGGTAAAGGGGCGGCTTACGCCAAAGCGGAGAACGAGTTGACTAAATTAGTCGAGAGCACCGGAATTCCCTTTCTGCCTACTCCAATGGGGAAAGGGTTGCTCCCCGATACGCACGAGCTGGCGGCTACTGCCGCCAGGTCGCTGGCGATCGGGAAGTGTGACGTGGCATTAGTGGTCGGCGCGAGGCTTAATTGGTTGCTTCACTTCGGGGAGCCGCCCAAGTGGTCGAACGACGTGAAATTCATACTCGTAGATATATCCAAGGAAGAAATCGAGTTGAGAAAGCCGTGTTTAGGAATTGTGGGAGATGCTAAAGATGTCGTGGGAATTTTACATAAAGAGATTAAAGATGACCCGTTTTGTTTCGGAAAAACTCACCCTTGGATTGAGTCGATCAAGAATAAGAGTAAAGATAATGTGGCGAGAATGGAGGTGCAGTTGTCGAAGGATGTGGTCCCGTTTAATTTTACGACACCGATGAGGATTATTAGGGATGCGATTTCGGGGGTGGGGGCCCCGGCCCCCATAGTGGTTTCTGAGGGAGCTAATACTATGGATGTCGGTAGGTCGGTTTTGGTTCAGACAGAGGCGAGGACTAGGTTGGATGCTGGGACGTGGGGGACAATGGGGGTTGGTCTCGGTTATTGCATCGCCGCTGCTGTGGCAGCTCCGGATAGGCTGGTGGTGGCTGTTGAAGGTGACTCCGGTTTCGGATTCAGTGCTATGGAAGTTGAGGTAGATTATTAAATATTAAAACACGTGCTCGAATTCTTCTTCTTTTTTGTTTTTTCAAGTGGTTGTATTAACTTGTGCTTTTTATATGGATTATTGTAGACGCTAGTTCGGTATCAGTTTCCGGTGGTGGTTATAGTGTTCAACAACGGCGGTGTTTACGGCGGTGATCGGAGAAACCCGGAAGAAATTACCGGGCCCCACAAGGAGGATCCTGCGCCCACGTCTTTTGTACCCGGTGCAGCTTATCATCTTCTGATGGAATCTTTTGGAGGGAAAGGGTATCTTGTTTCGACTCCAGACGAGTTGAAATCGGCACTTGAGGAATCGTTTTCCGCGAGGAAACCTGCTGTAATAAATGTGGTGATCGATCCGTATGCCGGTGCCGAGAGTGGGAGGATGCAGCACAAAAATTGAGTCGAGCCCGGATAATAATTATATTAAATAAAATTAAATAAATATTTTGTATTTCGGTGCTGGTATTTTTATTTTATTTTGTAATAAATTTATTAGTGACAAAGAACTCGTAATCTGCAAACAAGAGTTGGCAAATTAAGTGTAAAATCAAGGGAAAGATGTGGATCACATGTCAGCACAATTACTGGTTCTAATTGAGTTGGATTAAGAGATAATCAGATTTAACTAACCACGTGTCATGATCAGATGTAATAATAAATTGAGATTATATATGATCTTGTAATTTTGCAATATCTGGCAATTGATATGGGATCAAAATACTCATTCATAGGTAAATCAATTAATTCTATTATTGATATCTTTTTTTTTTTTTTTTTTTATGGATTCTATTATTGATATCTAATACTATTAGAAAGTTACTAATTAACTATGTCCTGGTCTTCTAGATGTTACTCCTGATGAAATATATTTAGATTTTTCATCTTTAATTTATACACAAATATATTTAGATTTTTCATCTTTAATTTATACACAATTACGCATTTGGATGTAGATTTTGTAAAAAAAAATTATGGATATATGGATGATAATATATGATCCGATTAAATTTATATATAACATAGAAAAAAACATATTATCATCTCTTTTAGGGGTCTAATGAGTCGAGCTCGAGCCGAGCTTGACTGTCTCGGCGAGCTCGAATCCATTTTGATGAGCTCGCGCTCTTCGAATATTTTTTTTTTTGGCTCGAGCTCAGAAACAACTAAGAATGAGCTCGCCTGATTTGTCTGAGAGCTCGAGCTCGAAAAATTCGAGTTCAAGTTCGACAATTTGTCAAGTTGACTCAACTCATTTACACCCCTACTCTATTTGATGATATACATAGTAAAATAAATGGGACACTTATTATAATTAATTTTTATGCAATTACATACATATATACATGTGGACGTATGTAGAGAATTAAAAAAAAAAACGAAATCTCATTCTAGAGCAACTCTAAACACCTCAAAAGACAATAACATGAAACATGTAATAAATCGATCAATGAATAAATAAATCATAAAGTCAATGTTAATAACTTAATAGTGTATGTAACACGTAACATGATATTGTTTCATATTAGGATTGTTATAATAAATTCGAGATTACGATTGAATTTAAGCAATCATAATCTAAATTATTGACATATTTGACTTTTTATAAATCTTTAAAAATCAGTTATTAAATCAATAAAAAATAAATAAAAAAGTACGTTGGATTTTGATTTTTGAATTGTTTTAATTCAAAAACCTACTAAAAATATTATTCATAAGTCAACCATTCAGAAATTGATTAAAACCCAATTTGACTTGAGTAGTTTTTAGCAAGTCAAAATTGTGACAAGTTAGTGGGATTCTTTTAGTGTAATACTAACCAAATTGTATTTCACTAATGACTAAACAATATAATTACTATATTATATATACTTTCCTTTTTATTTTAGCATACAAATTATAGGAAAAGTATTATTTCGATTAAAAATAAATAGAAACAACTAAAAGGGACGATCTATAATCTAATTATGTGCTTTTTTCTTTTATTTTTAAAAATAATAATAATTCAATTTTAACATTATTTGAACTCAATTTGATTAAAGGGCATATTTGATCTGGTTAATTCTCTTGGGAATTTCTTATTTATTTTAAATTAATTTTATTGAAAATAATAACTAATAAAAAGAACTTGTAAGCCAGCTCGCGAGTTCATAAACAATTATGAAGAGCTCGGACTCGACTAGTCAGAAAGCTCGAACTTTTATCAAGCCGGGCCTATGTTAACGATGGTTGGGTACAAACGGGCCCCGTCGAACCCGACCCGTGACCAGTTGGACCCAATTATGTGTCCCAATTTATAAATCTCCCCCACTCAACAACAAAACATGCTAAATTACGGAGAATGTGTGTGTGTGTTTTCTTGTCATTAGCTTAGCTGCAATTGACGGTGTGGGCCCCACGCGCATTACCAGCAGAAATTCAGTCACCACCAAAATAAGAAAGACAATAAAAAGAGAATCACCGAAATTATTAATACGAACAACTGTATTAAAATTATTTTTCTATCCAAATTGTTTCTATATTTATATATATACCCCCCACATTTCTGCACCACTATCAATCACCATTCATCACAATTTTCATTTTCTTCTCTCTCTTTCTTCCAAACTTCAAAAAAAGAATAAAAAAAAAGAAAATGGGAAATTACATTTCTTGCACCTTGCCGGGGGCGGTGAGCAGGAGTACGATCAAGGGTACGAAGGTCATTTTCCCCTCCGGCGAGACACGGCGGCTGCACGAGCCGACGAAAGCGGCGGAGCTCATGCTGGAGAATCCGAACTCCTTCATCGTGAGCGCGAAATCTCTGCAGATTGGGAGGAGATTCTCCGCCCTGAACGCCGACGATGACCTCCAGATGGGCGGCGTCTACGTGTTTTTCCCGATATAGGAAGAATAGAAAAGGAGAAGGAGAAATAATAATACGTAATAGAATAGAAACCCCCATTATGTTATGGGTTGATTACATGGAGTATATATAGAGAAATATTGCAAGGTAATAGAGTTTGACTAGGTAACTAAATCCTAACTAATATAGGTAACCGAATCATAGTAGAATCCTAATATCCTACAGTATCTAATATAATAATATACTCTAATACGCCCCCGCAGTCGAAACGTGACGAACGTGAAGACTGGACAATCACTTGCTAGCACGCTCCCGCAGTCGGAACGAATAAACTTCAAACGTGAAGACTGGACAAAAAAACCCGCAAAATCCAGCAGTAGTGAAATCCTAGGCGAAAGTATCTGCCAAATTAAATAGAAAGAAAAAATAATAATAATAATAATAATAACAATGGAGATATTTTTTTTTTTTTTTATATATATATTTTTTTATTTTTTTTTTTATTTATGTATGAATCGAGAGAGAGAGGGAGAAGATATGAGAGGGGTCGCCGGCCATGGAGAAGAAGAGAGGCAGCGGCTAGGTTTTAGGCCATAGAGAAGAAGAAGAAGAAGAAGAAGAAGAAGAAGAAGAAAAATATAGAGAAGATACACCACCGAGAGAGGGAGAAAATTCGGTTTGGTGGTCGCCGGCCATGGAGAAGAAGAGAGGCGACGGCTAGGTTTTAGGCCATGGAGAAGAAGAAGAAAAAGAAAAAGAAGAAGAAGAAAAGGATAGAGAACCACCGGGGGAGGGAGAAAATTTGGGTGGTGTTCATAGAAAAGATAGAAAAGATAGAAAAAGAAAGATATTAAGAGTACCACCACCGGGGGAGGGAAAGAATTGGGTGGTCACCGCCATGGAGAAGAAAGGCGGCTAGGTTTTCACCGCCATGGAGAAGAAAGACGGCTAGGTTAAAAACCTAAACCTGGTGCTCTGATACCATATAGGAAGAATAGAAAAGGAGAAGGAGAAATAATAATACGTAATAGAATAGAAACCCCCATTATGTTATGGGTTGATTACATGGAGTATATATAGAGAAATATTGCAAGGTAATAGAGTTTGACTAGGTAACTAAATCCTAACTAATATAGGTAACCGAATCATAGTAGAATCCTAATATCCTACAGTATCTAATATAATAATATACTCTAATACCCGATGTCGCGGCTGAAATCGGCGGCGACGGCGGCGGATTTGGCGCCGCTTTTAACCGCGGCGAACTCGACGGCGGCGAAAAGGGCGTCGAGAATCTCGCCGGAGTGCGGCGGCGGTGTGTGCGTTGTGGAGACGACTAGCGTGAAGTGTTCGGCGGGGAAGCTGAATTTGGACGATTTTGAAGAGTTTTCGACGCCGGAGTTTAAGCACAGATTGTCTATGAGCAGGTCCAAGAAACCGTCGCTGGAGACCATTGATGAAGAACCACTGTGTGTGAGATGAGATCTTGTGATCAAAGATTAACGGCTGTGATTTCACTATTTTATAGAGATTAACTCTTTTCATTTTTTTTATTGATAAAAAGAGTTTCTTTCAATATTTTCTCGTTTTATTAATTATTAATTATTAATGTAGTTTGAAAAGATAATTATGTTGGCAAATACAACATATTTTTTGTTTACATTATATTTTTTATTTGCCAATTTCATTTAATGTTGCTAAACATGTTTGGATAATTATAAAATAATGAAAACAATGGTGAGAATCCTATGACGTCACTAACTTTATTCCAAGGGTTAATTGAATTGAATTCTTTTTTTTAATGAAAATCGTAGTCAATCATACAGATGCACCGAATAAATCTACCATCTAGTATAAATGAATTACATACTTAATAATAAGAGTATATAAGGAAAAAAAATCCCGTCCGGAGGTAAATTATTGCTGTGCAATAATTCATTTATAATTTTTAAGATAATTCATAGTTTAATTATTATAAATAATTTTATATTATACTCCAAGAGTTTTGCATTCATAAAACACATTCACATATATAGAGGGTTGTCCATGGATCGATTTTAACCACCAACCAACCCATTTTCAACCTATAATTTGTAACCGATAATCAACTAACTCATTTAAGTTGGGTCGATAATGTCATCCAACCAATGTGTAGTTGGGTCGATAATGGTTTCTAATAAGTTAAAAAGTTGGTTAATCGGGTAATATCGACCAACCAAATTTATTTATTAATTTATTATTTATTAATTTTATTTAATGTATTTAATATTTTTTTATTTCAAATTTCTATTTTATGTCACATTTTTTAAATTTCTAATATTGATCAAAATATAAGAGTAGTAATTCTAACATAATTTATCTAATTTGAAATATTTTAATTAGCCTAAAATATTTGGATGATTATTAATTGTTGAATTATTAATGTTTAATTGCAATACATATGGCCCGTAATGATTTGAATTTTGTATTCGGATATTATTGAATTAGTCATATTTAATTGTAAAAAAAAATAGTGTTGTAACTACTAATAAAATATTAAAAAATATTTCGATGGACGACTCATCAACCGACTCACTAAATTGGTTATCAACCGCCGCCTAACCCATGTCAATTGGGTCGGTGTCGGTTTTCAATATTTATCAAAGTTGATTGGATAAGTGGGGTTGGTTTTATGACTGGTTTTTAGCCAACGCACAACCATATATATATGATGATGCTAAAGTTTAGATCACCTGGGGTAGTGTAGAAAATGAACTGGGAGAGCAAAGCGGATCAGTAGCTTGACAACTTGATGATCCTGAGGTACCTGCGATCATAGAACACATGAACTAAGCCGGGGGTGGATCCGGCGGAAACCCCTCCGACGCTCATTGTCGCCTACAG